AAACAAACAGCCCCTCCCACACACACACCATACTTGATACATTAGCTCACTAAGGGCTTTCCTCCTTCAGGGGCTTCCTTGCCCCTACTCCTGTCCAGCTCCCATTCTTCCTCAGCAGTGGCCACTTCCTGAACTGTGGAGAGGCCCAACTTTCTCCATCTCTCAGTAGAAACTGACACCTGTGTTAGTTTTAGTGTCAAGTGGTCTGGTCACCCTATCACCCAACGCTTGTCTCAGCTCATCCAGTTGAATTTTGGCATCTTCTTTCCCATAGGCACCCAACTGGTGACAGAAAGAAAACTGACAGCCATACACACCATCTCCATTACCATCTTCATTCCACCATACTATCTGGCAGAAGATGATCAATTTTTTCCATCTTAAAAATTCCTCACCTCAAAATTCAGTCATCTTTTTTGCATTTTTTTTCCTAAACAAACCACACACTCACTTTTTCAAGCTACAGCAATATTAAACAATGAGTCTACCCAAGAAAAGAAGTTACTATGTAAAATTTGACACTGTACAAAAAAACAAGTTTCATTTTTAGGCTATGTTATTGTCAGCTACAGAAATACTCACTTCCAAGTTCAGGGAGTAATCAAGTAACGCTATTTTTACAAATTTCTACATCTGCTCAAAAGAATTTGTCTCTTCTTGAAACAGGTCACCTTCTCCCCCACCCCAAGTATTTACTAATAAAGCAGTGCAGCAAAGAGTTTTAGATGTAAACGTCATGGAGATTTTAGCCTTAAACAGACACAATCAGACCTTTCTCATGTTCTTTAATAGCGTAATGATATCTCTTCTGATAGATACATGAGGTTCTGCACTGGCAAAATATATAATAGATTCCCATATTAGAGCAACAACAGTTTCACTCTCAGAAATCCGTTGTAAGTTCAAAAAATAAAACCCCACCAACGTCTGACCAAGTTTCCCATAATTTCATTATATGAAGGGTTTTCCAAAGCAGTATAAAAAGGTCTGCATCACAATAGTATTTTAACAAGTAACGTTGGCAGGAAGAAATAAACAAATGGACAAAAACAGGGTACAGGCATGCCTCTGCTACTTGTTGCATCAAAATGGTTTGGAAATCTCCACATTTGAAGTGCTCTTTTGGTGGTTTGACCACCAAAAGTGAATGAAACTGAAATTGTTGCCTAACTGAAGTCTGCATTACCATAAACAGCTTGCCAAGCCCCAGGCAGGCACGGCCAGCTTCCAGAAACCTACTGCCACTATCATTCTTCTGTTCCACGCACAGGAATAAGGGAAGGGGTGCAGCTCAAGTCCCTTCCACAGCTGGAGAACACAGACAGAATTTGGGTCAACTTCTGGCCCAGAACAGCGCTGGACCCTTGCTCCGTGCTTTTGGTATTAGAGTTCCCTGGTACCGCCAAGGACAGAACCTACAGGTAGAGATCACATCTACTTCAATCAGCAGTACGCTCTTCAACTCTGGATGGTCTGCGTCCTGTCCACCATGCATCAGGCCTTTTAGCATGCATACCAAGCAACACAACTGGAATAACCAGCAAGGCCATGCAGCGATTTCTTCCCCAGCTTCTGCTGTGGAAAGAAGTATACAGCAGTACACAGCTTATACCGAAAGTAGCTACTGCTCCACAACAGATGGATGGTTGAAGTTTGCTTGTACTTAAAACTATCTACTAAACTGAAGGACATAATTGCTCGCCTGCAATGAGATGCATCCTGTGTTAATGAACAGTCAAGTTCATCTCAGTGGAAGCAAACTAGTTTCTCTGTTGAGAATGGCCTGGTGCCTGCTAGCACAAGGACACGAGCAATGTCTTTCCACAGCTGGTCAGAAAACTCAAGAACACTGCCAATACAAACACACGGGAAGCAGCAAGAGTTTCCCCCCCCTCCCTTGCATTGCCTAATTCCAAGTTACCTTAAACTTAATCAGAGAGTCATCTATATTTATTGATTCTATCGAGCTACCAAAAAAAAAAAAAACCCTTTAGAGGAAGCTGCTACAGTGAAGTAAGATCTTCTCCCGTTTGCACCAGTATTCTCAAAACATGTTAGTCAAGAGGCTTCAGCAGACTAAGAAAAGCAAGCTGTTTTCAGACACCGGTCATTTATTCCAAAAGACTTCTTAAACACTCATCTATATTCCTAGAATGAAGGCAAGGCTTAAAAGATGTTTTCATTCATTAACAAGTTAATTCAACAAATTATGTTGTTTACAAAGGTCACAAATAGATATACTTGGAAGTTCCTAGGCAAAGAAGGTCACAGAACCAGGCTGGCTGCATAGCCCATCACTAAAAAGTCCTAACAGGAGAAGACCAAATAGTTTGCATGAGACACCCAAGCGTACAATTAGCATTACACCAACATGAACTGCTGTAATACATATTGTCTGTAGTCCACTGTGACTTCTTCAGGATAGAGACTACATCAGTAGATTTAATAAGAACCACATGCCTCTAGAGCTTCACATAAATGCTTATTAATCAACTATTTATATACAGTACACTGGCTGTCTGTTGAAAGCCAGTTTTCCTAAAAAACCACAGTTCTTTATAGCAGAGCAGAACAGCTTCTCTGTTGAAAAACTCCATTTCTCCCAGTCTCTCCTGGGGTTTACTGGTACAAAGAATACAGGATACAACTATTACACCTACTGATGAAGCAAGAGACTGAATGAAGGGATCCATTCAAGCTCTGCTTACTCAACATTAACACGGAATGTTTCAAGTGAGGGGGAGGAAAGAGCAGAAGTGGTAACACAACCAGTTTCTGTACAAATCCCTTTCCAACGACAGATACCTAATGTTGCTTCGGGCCACCAGTGTGAGCTAACAAGCCCCGTACAGTTCAGGGAGTGAATAAGCTCTACTTTCCTTTGACCCTTCCCCTGTTTAAGTCCTATTTGAGCCTATGATACTTCTCATTTCTACAAAGTCACGAAGCTATTTTGCAGCCGAAAATAGCAGACTATCGGTCTAGTAACAGGTATATTATTGGGAGAGAAAGAGGAGGAGCATAGAAGCAGTTTAAAATTAGAATCAAAGAATACTCATTTTTTCCTGGATAAGAATGACAGTAATTTTCAGTGGTACTTCACTTAAGTAGTCTCAACATTTGACTAACATTTTCTTTTATGTGCATTGTTCATTTCTTTTACATAAGAGCATCATTCCCACAATTAGAAGTATATTCATCAATCCCACAGGAAATAAGTTCAGCTTTGATCACTGAATACTTTTATAACTGGTTAAAGCTTTTCCGATACCACTGAGTTTTCTTCACTACAGGTGAACACTCTGGCATAAAACAAAGCAAAGAATATAGTCAAAGAGTAATTTTAAGGTAGGTGTAGTTAACAGAAACAGTACTGTGGTAATGCTACTGCAGAAATGAAATAACTGCAGGTTAGTTTAAATTAGCTGGTTGCAGAATACACCAGTTCCTCTGTATTTAAAATAAGAATGCATCACAGACTGTCTCCTATATAGACAGATGCACCATTTACATATGGCCCATGCCTTTTGCTGACTGCTTTATTAATGGTATAATACCTCAAAGCTCCATTAAAGAGACCTTTGTATAAATACAACAGTACAGCAAATGGAATTCTGTAAGAGATGGAAAAGGATTATTCTGAATTATGACACTTGAAAAAGAGGAGTGGGAAATCAACATCTGACAGATACTGTTACCAGTTACATAAAATTAACCTTACACTTCTCTCAAACTGAATTAATTTTACTCAAAGTGATTAAAAGATAATTGAACTTTATAATTACTAAAAACTTTGAAGCTTCTTTCTTCGATAACAGTTTGTGCAGATTAAGAAGTTTAGCCTGAATTCCTCAGACTGCAAATAATGTTCTTCCCACGTTCCTTGGCATATTTACTATAGCATAGGCTTGATAATTAACCTAACACTTAAATTTAAAGAAGTCAGTTTTATTTAACTTAAGTTAATTAAGCCTATACCTTAGGTTAAATAAAACTTTTTTCAGTTGAGTAGGATCTCATTCTACACAAAATAAGGTTTGAAAAAAACACACGTATAGATAAAAGGGACTGCACTTATGTTGACTGCTTAAAATGATGCAACAACATTCACCAAATGTAACAGAGATCCTGTAGCACAGTAATCAGGGCCCTTCTTGAGCAGGGCAGTTGGGCAACAGAAAGTTATCTATTCATGCTGACCTCTGCTTTACTCCAGCAAATAACGCTTTTTAAAGCGAGATTAGGTAAAATTTAGGTCATTTCTATCACTAGCATTACAGAACCTCAAATTCTTTGTACCTTAAAATATACAGAGACAAAACAGTTACAATCCAAAAAGCACTAAGTGGTGGTTACTGCACAACCACCCCCAAAATCATTATCTTTGTTACACTAGTTAAATAAAAGTGTTCGTTAGTAATCTTCCAAAAGGTTCCCCTTCTCACCCTCTAAATGTATTTATTTACATAGCAGAAAAACAGGTTCCCAGTCCTCTAAATGGGTTGAGAAGTGGGGTTTTTTTGTTGTTTTGTTTGGTTGGTTTTTGCACAAAGCAGGGGGAAGAAGTTCAGGAAAAAAGAAGGAAGCAGGGGGGAAAAAAAATAAGATAACTGCTGTGGTGCACGTGTACAATATCATTGCTAACACTGTCAACTTTGAAAAGAAAAAGCAAAAAAAAAAAAAAGGCCCCCCCCCACACTTCTTTCTGGATATACCTTCCCTGGATATACCATTGCCACAGCTAACTCCTGTGCATTTCTTCAAGGTAAGGACCGTAGCAATGGTGGTAGCGGAAGGTGCTATTTTTCCAGCCTGCTTTCAGAGGGCATTTGACAGGACTTGCATCTACCCAGGTCCTTCGCATACACAACCAGTATTTTCTTCTGTTCCACTTCTGCCTACTAACACAGCAAACCCTCTCAAAACAAAAGCAGAACATTAGCGCAAAGCAACCAACACCTAACAGAGTTGCCGCGTAAATCCTTCACCGCCGAAGCAAGGCCCTAACGCTCTGCGGCTGGAGAAGCTGCACGACTTCAG